TTACGCTCGCGAAGCTCATCACGACCCGATCAGTGTGATGAACACATCACAACGACCACAAAAGGCCCAAAAGGAGGAGCCGATCACCTTCTATGAGAATGAGGCAGCTCGCCTACATCATCCTCACGACTATACCCTTGTGATCATGCCCCTTATAGGGCACCATAATGTCCGCAGAATGCTCATAGACAACAGAAGTGCTGTGAACATTCTATTCCAGACCGCTTTCGAGAGAATGAATTTGGACGAGGCTGACCTGAAGCCCGCCTCGATCCCTCTTTATGATTTTACGGGGGACCACCTGATCCCCAAAGGAATGATCCAGCTCCCAGTCACGCTGGGTGACTACGACGAAGTGACTAAGGTTACTGAATTCTTGGTCGTGGATTGCCCATCGGCCTTTAATGGAATCCTGGGGCGAACTCTATTGAGAAGCTTCAAGGCGGTCACTTCCATATACCATCTCAAGATGAAGTTGCCCGCCCCAACAGGGATAGGGGAAGTGAACGGATCGCAAAGCGCATCTCGTGACTGCTACATAAAAGCGGTGCAGATGGCGTGTAAAGGAAAGGGCATTTCATGATGTGTGCCCCGACAGGCTATGGCAATCAGCCAGATCGAGCCATAACCTGGCCTAGTAGAGGATAATATAGATCCTCGAATTCAGGAAACCCTTCCAAGCGGTCCGGTTGGGGATTTGTCCGAGGTATCGGTCGACCCAAAAGAGCCGAGCCGAGTGTTAAAAATTGGGAGCAGTCTCAACCCCCATCTCACGTCCGGGCTGATAAGCTTCCTAATAGAAAACATCAATTTGTTTGCCTGGTCACACGTAGATATGGTCGGGATCAGCTCGAACATCATTTGCCATGCGTTAAACATCGACAACGAAGCGCTCATAAGGGCGAGCTTGGACCTTGTTGAAGAACATCGTAGCAAGGCTTCGCTAAGAATAACAGCCTATTAGCAACGCACGAAGAAGTTCTTCGATTCAAAGGTCAGACGAAGAGACTTCCAGGTCGGCGACCTGGTGTTAAAAGAAGTCCTGCTCGGAACCAAGGAACCAAGTGTGGGAGTTTTAGGGCCAAACTGGGAAGGTCCGTACCGCATTGATAAAGTAATCAGATTGGGGACTTATCATCTCAAAAGGCTAAACGGTTCCAAGGTACCCCGAGCCTAGAATGCTGAGCACCTTCGACCATACTATTAGTAATCTCGAACTCAGCTTTCCTTGTAAATTAACTTCTGATTTTTGTAAGTCATTTCTTTGTAAAATTTTATCTTGGATGTTTGTAGCAATCTTTGTATGTGATCTTTTTCGTGCGAATGAGTTATGTTATCTTTGACTCAATGAATGTAAGCAATCAGAAAGTACTCATGTATAATGAAACGAACAGAAATTATATAAGTCAAAGATGTGAATTTTATTAATAAGAAGTACAACAGGCAAAAAGATATGGCTGAGGACCCTAAATTGACTCTTAAAGAGGTGACCTCGACATCCTAAGGCTGGTTGGTGGAAGGTTTGTCCGAAGCATGTCCCGAACCACCCGCTTGGGAGGTCGCGGCTTCATCATCCTCCCGCGCCATTGTCATGAGTGTTTCACGCCAGTCTTCTGGGAGGTCAACCATGTCGAGTCGCGGATTCCTTGGCTGCAGGGCATAAATAGACTCGATCGCATGTTCGGCAGCCCACTCCTCGACCTCCACAGCCTGCTTCTGCATCTCCTCTGTCAAGGAAGCAACTTTCCCTTGACTTTCCTGAAGTTCAACTTCAAGAGCTTGCCTTAGCTTCTCAGAAGCCTCTCTCTCCTGCTCTGCTCACGCGACCTGCAGGGAGGTCGCTTTCAGTTCCTGGTCCTACTCCCCGGCCTACTTGGAGAATCTAGCTATAGTCCTTTGCAGTTCCTTTATCTCTTCCCCCTGTTTCTCGAGCTACGTCTTCTGGAAGTCAACCGTACGAAGAGCCGCGTCCCTTTCGCTCTGGAGTCGGTTCGAAAATTCAGAAGATAAGTTTCTCTTCGTTTCGGTGGCCTCCAGGCTTCACCTGAGCATCGCGTTCTCTCCCTTCAGCGCGACCTCCCCTTTTGTGGCCCCCAGTTGAGCCTTCTCCAGAGACATTCACATGGAAAGAAGGGCCTGCGAACAAAGAAAGATAAAGTTAGCTAATAAAAAGAAGCTAAGGGTAGTCCCCGCCGGGGATAGTTTGTTCACCTTGCTTATGTGCTAGACCGATGTGGACATCAGGTCGACGTCGCTGAAATTTATGAACTGCTCGAATGATTCTGAGAGTCCACATTCCAGTAAAGTGCAGACGACCGGCTGCAGGTACTCTAGCAGGTTCCCTAGTGAGTCCAACACTGGGGTATCTGTCTTTGCACCTTCAGTAGTGGTCGTGTCAACCATCGGTTCCTTTCTCGACCTTCTCCCGACGTCCCTCTGCGACCTCCTTAGCTGCTCACCTTCATATTCGGTCTCTGATTCCTCGACCTAAATCTGCCTCCTCTTTTTTCGCTGAGCTATCGTCTTCATCTTTGGGCGAGCAGGCGATGGCTGGGAGACCTTCGTGGTTCGCATTGGTACCTTCTGCCGGCTACAGCTGAGAAGTTCCAGAAGGTTGCGCTAGCTGGCTCGAGGTCACGCCCTCAGCCGGGGGGATTGTTTGAGTAGCTTCGGTCGCCTTATCTTTCTTCGACTGAGGAAAATTGAGAGGCCTTCGTCGAGGCTGCTTTGGCTCCTTCGGTGGCATGGTTGCTGCATGCAAGGCAAGGTTAGTAAAGGAATTTTATTCCACGACCAGGAAAAAAATCAGTTAGCAGAACTTACTCGGTGGAGGCTCTAACGATGCACTTGCGTTAAAGAAACTGTATTTCCGCAAATTTGCGGTTATCACAAGTTTCTTCGCATCGCGCTTGTCCTCAGGTAGGGAGCCGAAGTGCATGATTCTTCTCCTATCGTGGAGAAGCCCTATTTCGGTCGTCTTGTTAACTATCAAAAAGAAAAAACCAGGTCGTTAGAGCGAACACGCTTCGAACGCAATAAGTTCGCCAAAGCAAAACAGAAATGCAAACAAAGAGAAAGAGCCCTACTCGGTTCCTTGAAGCGGCAATGACCATCGTAACGAAAGAAGAAAAACTTTGTTTCGTAGGCCCTCGCGTTGCTGGGATAGCTGTGTATCCCGTCGACAATGGGTGGTCGACTGGATAAGTAATACGAGTCCTTGTCCTTGCTTTTTTTCAGAAAATGCGAGCAGCCGAGCTCTAAGGTGGTCAGCTTGCCCAGTCCGTTCTCCTGGCACACGATGTACATTGCAACAGCAATGACATACGCGTTCGGGGTCAGCTGCATCAGTGCGACCCCAAAGTGGTCCAGAAACGACCTAATCAAAGGGTGTAGGGGGATAAGTCCTCCACCCTTGATAATCTCCTCAGAGATCGCAGCCAGGCCGCTTGATGGGTATCGCGATGAATGCGTCAGGTCGTGGAAAACATCCACCTCGATACTGTATTGGTTTATTACCCTCTCGAGTTCTTCCCCGATAAGTGCCGAGAAAACCTCGAAAGGGATGCTAGAAGCACCTTGTGGGGACGAACTGGTTCCCTGCTCGGATCTGGCTGTTGAAGGGTCCATTTTGCCAGTCTGCAAAAGCAACAAGCAGAAGGGTTATTTGGCCTCCGTACGCTATTTCGTACGATGATGTGGGAGGAAGCAAACTCCCTAAATCCTAAAGGAAACCCTAGCGGCATGATTTGAACCGCCATTCATGGCTTGAACCCGGTGCAAACGTCTAGTCTCCGATGGGTTACCGGAAGACCGACACCATTAACTCATGGAAGAAATGAAATAATGGCAGGGAAGCTCTTACCTCTCGGAGTATGACGACTGTTTCTGCTTCAAATGTCGTAATCGAAACGACGTTTGGGCGGTAAAGGCTTCTCACCGTTGATCTTGGCCACGTGTCACTCGTCAGCGAGGAAGGGTGAACGAAACGATTGGATAAAGTCAAACTTTCATCTTTCTAGTTGAAAAGCTCAAACGACGGCCATCCTTCTCTCAGAGCATTAATTATGTCTCAAATCTTCATTTAATGCTCTGGTAAGGTACGCCGTTCCAACATATAATGCATTTAATGTTCTGAAAAAGTGCATTGTTTCAGCATACAATGCATTTAATGCGATTGGTTGGCATTTATCACGCAAAGGACACACCTGTTAATGCAGGGATCGCTTCATTAAATGCATCCTTATCACCAGAGCAAACAGGTGATGTCGGACGAAATTAGGTCGCTCGTCCCTGAACATGCAAGGTCGCGCTCATAAAAATGTCACTCCGACCTATTCCCAAATAGTCCAGAATTTCCAGAAATCATCCTGCTACGACATAACTTATAGTTTCCAAGGTTCAGTCCTCAAACCTTAAAAACTAGGGGACTTCTGTTATGCCTAAAAAATATCAGGACTGATGTTAGGTCCTTTCAGCCCGCAAAAGTCAGGTCATTGGAACAACCACCTCCTGCGTCCGTCAGGATAGTGGGTGCGCGTCAGGCTAGTCAAGAGCTGTGGTGCTCCCACGTGTCCAATCCCTGCTCTAAATCGCGCGAATCACTCTGGAAGGTGGGCAATGTGACGTAAAGAAGGATTTGTATGGATAATCCCACCAACTTACAGATTTAGTGATCATTGCCTCATGGCATCTCACTATATATTTGAAGTTCATCTCTCATTGAAGGGGGATTAGCACATTTTACGCTTGATTAATTACTCTTTCTTTCCTAGAAGTCTCAGCATTTGATACCTTGTAACATTATTGTAAAGTCAGTCAGCTAAAAGCGACCTGACCTTTATCATCAATATAAGCATCAGTGGACGTAGGACTTGCTACCTTAGCATCCGAACCACTTTAAAAACTGTCTCCATTGCATTTACTATCTCTTTATCTATTACATTCATGTGTGTCTTCTGGGTCCACACAACATTTCACACGTGCGTTTCGTTGGTGTAAAATCACGCATCAACAGAACCCTTGAGGGGCGTTTTGGTATCATGTAAGATAGATAATGCCATAGCAAGAAACATCACAACATCGACAAGAGTATTCCAAAACAGCACTATAGCCAGCCATGATTTAATGAATTTTCCTCGAAACCGGCCAGAGGATTTGCTGGGATTTACTTTCTGAATAATTAGAATGGTGGGAGGTTCCTCTGGATTACAAGTCTTACGAGTACAAGTAAGAAAATAAGACATAAGCGAAACTCCATCACCAAGAGAGTGGTGAACTCGAAAAACAGCGACGGATTCAGCATCAGAAGTTCTAAGGTTGAGGAGATGGAGATCCCGCATTGGCATTGACATTTTAATTCCAGTTTTACTTAGATTAGATGTATATTCTTCCACAAACTTATCGGGTGATTCAATATTATTTGGATCCAGCATTGGAACTATAACATGCTTGTCTAAATCCACTTCTTTTTTATTAACCCATTTTAGACCCCCTTTAACTGTCTCATCCTTAACCTGCCATTATAGTCAAATTAGCAAAATAAAGTCATACGAATATATTTCCTTTTCATAAAAATATTGCAACCTTTTTTCCTCTTAGAGAAATTTTTTTGCTCCTTAACCATAGGGAAGATTTTGACAGTTTATTAATGAAGATTGGTTAGATGAAGCTGAGAAATGGTTCATCAGACGCATAAATGCGAAAAGACAAAAGGTTCACTGAATTTTTTTGTATTCAAAATTGTAAAATTTTGTCTTTACATATTTACGACAGCGTCTATCAGAAATGATTTTTGGAATTTATGGAAGTCCATGCAAGAAAATTTTCCGAAATGTGTATTAGCGGTCACTAATAATTACAAAAAGATAAAAAGTTAAGTCAAATATTTTTTATATAGGAAACTGTAAAATTTATATATATATATATATACACGAGAATTTATCTATATATACTTATACTCGATATTTTGATATATACTTACGTGCAAACTACAGAAACGAGGTTGCTGAAGAAAAGTATGCACTAAGCTTGCTTTAATAACTTCTGGGTTCATTTCTGTTTTCATGCCAACCATGACAATGATGTAGATACTGGAATCAGGTTTATGAAACAGACGAGCCATTGGACTCAAGGGGAGACCTTCCTCATCATTTCTAATCGGGTCTTCAACATCTGCTTTCAGTTTGATACATTTAAGGACTTCCATTCACAATCTCTCTCAGACTTATAATTGAATTGATTTATAGGAAAAGAAAGGATAGACTTAGGGTAATGTTAATTTCTTTCTGATGTTTAGATGAACTACCAGCTCATGTGGCCTCTCCTTTTATAGAAAGACAATACATTATCTTACATCCCATTCTTGGTACGTAAACTAGAATCTTGTAGAATTGCAAAGATGATTTGATTTGTATAGACGTATACTTGTGAAACTCAAAGAGAATGTAAAATTAGAAAGAAAATGAAGAATTTGAGAAGAAGAATGCTCTGTATTTCTTGATTAGCTGAACAGTTACAAACAAGCTCAACTCACTTTTATATAAAGAAGTGAGTAAACGAAAGAGAGGAAGAAGAAAGCAAAAGGGAAAGTAAAGAGAGAAACGACACCGTTTCTCCTTTTTACAGTTTTGTCCTTAATGAAAAAGTCAACCTTGGTCAACATGCTCCCTCAAACCAAACTACTTTGAATCTAACTTCCCATACTATTTGAATACATAACAACATTTCTTCACAATCCAAAAAAAAATATGCTACATTTTAGCTTAAACAATCATGCTGCATTTTAACTACTGCTTTGTAGTTGCTACTGCAGAGAACTCATTCTGTAAAAAAAAAATCTACTGAAACAATCCTGCTGCATTTTAACTGCTGCTCTGTAGTTGCTACTGCAGAAAACTCATTCTGTAAAAAAAATCTGCTGAAACAATCCTGCTGCATTTTAACTACTGCTCTGTAGTTGCTATTTGCTGTGTTTTAACTAAAACAATCTTTCTCTGATTCCCAGAAACATAAGTTATGATCTGAACTAAACTCAAGATCCTGCAATTATAAACTGCTGAACTGAAACCAATACGCAGTCTGCCAAGTGAATCACAGTGAACTGAACCCAACCAAAAAGAAAACTTAGCTGAGCTTCAAGCATAGCTAAGCAAACTGCTGAACTGAAACCAATTAAACTCATGCTTAGAGCTATCTCTACAGCAACTGATACTAATTTCAACAATCAGCAACTGACACCAACTTCAAACAAGAAAAACGCCATCTTTAAAGCAATAAACTGATCATCAACATCTTCAAAACAATAGACTGATCAGCAAGAAACACCAACTTCAAATTAATAAACTGATCAGTAACTAACACCACAGCAATTGATACTCTGANTTGCGTGGTACTACACATTAATGCTTTACTCTGCTCTCTATCTTTATGATTAATAGTGTTTGTGCTTGCTAAATTCATTATCTTAATGACATGCATGTATTTATCACTTATGATAATCTGTAGTAGTATCATAAATTTTCTCATTTTTTTATGATATTCGTTTAAGAGAGATGAACTATATATATTGTGATATACCATTAATTGCTGCAATTAACTCATTAAAACAAAATTTTGGCATAACTTTCATATGTTTATTTTTTGTAACCATATGTTTAAGACTACAAAATCTGGTCTACTTTTAGCGTCAGTCAATACCAATTGATATTGCAATAAAGATATATACATAAAGCTGGATAAATTAAATGAAGGCTCTACATGTATGCAAGATTAAAAAAAATTCTTTGAAAAGAACAGATTATAAAGCAACATATAATTCATTGAACCAACCACTCACCTGCATCCACGAATATTTGTTAGATAATAAAAAATTTATCATTTGATCTTGTGGTTGGTGTTGAGCCATAATACCTCAAATGAGAAGATAGAGAGCCAAGAGAGCCAGGGATGACTTGCTGACCATACGTAATTAGATCCAGCTAGCCTAAACCAAATGCCACCGAGCGGCAAGTCATTCCCGGCTCTAATCGTCTTTCTATCTCTACATACAAGATACTTTGACAAGTTGTACATTTCTTTAATCTCCTCATAATAAAGTTTCTACACAATGTAAACATATTTATAGGCCATGATTTTTGATGTTTAGGATTGCACATCTCATATATTCGGAGTGATCCAAATGAAAGAGGTTAGTTTACAATTTTCTCACTTGATTCTGAAGAAGTTGAGGCTCATCAACTCACCCTATGTACTTCTTATTATTCAGCGAGGCAGAGTGGATTGTCAATGGGAATTTATTCTCACACTGTCACACATGCTTATTATTATATTCTCAAGACAAAGAAATAAGATAAGGTTTTGACCAATGTTATGGCATCTATCCGTGTGGCCAAATTGGTTGATTTTCTTTTTAATTGCTGTAAAACCTTAAAGAAGAGAGGCGGAAATTCCAAAGAAAAGTCAAGTGAAGAGTATTTTCATTTCTTAAAAAATGAGTAAAAGTTACAGATGCAGCAGCTCATCTTTTATACTTGACGAGCTGAAGCAGATGATTCATAAGAGTAAAACGACATCGTGTCGTGTAAATGAAACAGAGAAAACAGGGGACAGTTTTCAAAGAGACCCTACACTTTCATATTACAACTGATTGACATTCCCCCATAAACCAAGCCACGGGTTTAATCAAAGGTTGACTGACATTCCCCCGTAGACTAAGCCACTTGTTTATTACTCATGTTTCTTTTACTTGCTTCAACATTCTTTGATCTGATCTGCACTAATCTGAACTGAAAAAAAAAAAAACCTCTGTTTTGAACTAAATTCAAAGCTCATAAAACTGCAAATGTGCAGACTGCATAGATCACTGTTGCAGTGTGAAAACACTTGTGATATAGCTGGCATTAAGAGTTGATTGAGTTCTTAAACAAAATTCAAAGACTGTGCAAACTAGAACAATCCAGTAATACTGAGCTGATCTCTACAACAACTAATACCAACTCCAACAACTAAGCACAGCAACTGAAACCAACTTAAACAGATGCTTATATTCTCAAATCAGCAAACTAAGCAAATCTCCAGTAAGAAAAAAAAAAACTGAGCACTCATCTGATTATATTCTCAAACCAACAAACTGCATTTGCATAGCTACTTGCATTTTCACAACTTCAGACCTGCACATCAATAGAGAACTCTTGCACACACACCAAACTTCATTTTCACAGAAAAAAATCCACAGCTTTTAGAACTATAATAGCTGCCTACATTTTTTACAACCTGTCAGAACTCACAAAACCAACTAAAATGCTACTTCCAGACCTCCAGAATTGCACTCACAAAACCTTCAGAACTGCATTCACAAAACCAACTAAACTGCTACTTCCAGACCTCCAGAATTGCAGAACTACACTCACAAAACAACACATACAGCAGATCACTTCCAGACCTCCATTTTTACAACTTCAGAATTGCATATGCATAGCTGCCTGCATTTTCATAACTAAACTGCTACACTATCATCTGATACAGCAAATGATACAGCAACTGAGTTTCAATTCTATTTCACCCACTGTCAGTTAACAGCAAGTTTTCAATTCTACTGCAACCACTGTCAGTTTACTTTTTAACTCCTGAAACTGAGAAATAGAGAGAGGCTTTGTTAAGACATCAGCTATTTGCAACTTAGATGGAACATATTGCACTAGAGCTTTCTTAGCTAACACTTGGTCCCTTATATAGTGTGCATCTATTTCTATATGCTTTGTTCTAGCATGAAAAACTAGATTGGCTGCTAAGGCTCCTGCACTCACATTATCACACCAAATTATGGGAATGGAGCTTATTTTCACATCTAATTCAGAGAAAAGACTGTCCAACCATGCCAACTCAGTTGATGTTTGTGCTAAAGCCTTATATTCAGCTTCAGTAGATGAAAGTGCAACCACCTATTGTTTGCGGGAACTCCATTGAACTAGATTAGGACCAAGATACACACAATACCCACTTGTGGATCTTCTGTCATCCAAGTTACTGCCCCAATCAGCATCCGCATAGCATTCAACACAAAGAAAGGTGGCTGGTTTGAAGATAAGACCATGGAATTTTGTACCTTGGATGTATCTCAACACATGTTTACAGGCCTGCCATTGAAGTTCTGTTGGGGCTTGAAGAAATTGGCTTAGTTTGTTAACCGTAAAACTAATGTCAGGCCTTGTTAATGTTAAGTATTGCAATGCTCCAATGGTGCTTCGATAAAGATTAGGCTCCTTAAACAACTCACTATCGCTCCTTAAACAACTCACTATCCCCAACAAACAGTTTAGTTCCGACAACCATAGGAGTTGAGCAAGAATGAGCATCTTGCATCTTTGTCTTAACAAGTAAATCTGTGATGTATTTGGACTGCCTCAAATGAATTCCCTCATCAGTCCTTGTAGCCTCTAAACCTAAGAAATAGGTAACTGATCCCAAGGTTTTTAATGCAAATTGATTGTTTAGATCATGAACCAATTTGGTAATAGAAGAGTTCTTGGATCCGGTAATCAAGATGTCATCAACATAAAGGACATACAAAACTTGACTTGCATCCTTGAGAATAAACAAACTAGAATCAGAAACTGAATTTTGGAAACCTTTTTCCAGCAAGGCTTGTTTTAATCTGTCAAACCAAGCTCTTGGAGCTTGTTTAAGGCCATATAATGCTTTATTAAGCTTGCAAACATGTAAAAGACATGTTGAACTCTCAAACCCAGCAGGTTGTTGCATGTAAACAGTCTCACTCAACATACCATTCAAGAATGCATTGTTGACATCAATTTGTTGTATGTCCCAACCATAAGAGACGACAAGTGTAAAGATAATACGAATGGTACAAGGTTTAATAACCGGGCTGAAAGTTTCAAAGTAATCTAGCCCGGGGGTTTGTTGAAATCCTTTGACCACCAACCTAGCTTTGTATTTTTGCAAAGTACCATCAGCATTGAACTTCGTTCTAAAAACCCACTTGTTACCAACAATGTTCATATCACAAGTTTTAGGAACAAGAGTCCAAGTGTTATTCCTTATAAGTGCATCAAATTCATCTTGCATAGCATTCTTCCAATCAACATTAGCCAAAGCTTCAGGTATAGTGGCAGGTTCTGGGTGTATGGTGGCTGATAATTTGGTTGACATCAGAACTGCTGTTGTTTGACCAGTAGACTTAGCTCGGGT